CTCTTATGCTGGCCTGGCTTCTGACAGCAGTAGCAGATGAACGTCATCACCGTTCTTCTTGGAGCCAAGAGAATCAGACTTAGGGTTTGTTTGAAGGCCACAATAATGGCGGCCATTTTTTATCTCTTTGCTTTCTCTCCCTGGTTTTCTCTCAGTTCCAGTTATAGGACACTTAAACAGTTTTTACCAAAGTATCAAATGAGCTGTCTGGAGCAAAAGCTATCTTTTGTAGCTCTTCAACTTATCTGTCAGAGTTATCTGTCTGTCTATTGAATTAACATCTCACAAAATATGCTTTACCAGTCCCTCTATTAAACATTTTAAGAAATCAGAGTGGTGTTCATCTTTTTCCTGATAAATAGCTAACATTTAATAACTGAAGACTTGATTCTAGTTCTTAGACCTTGAAGAATACACACTTGAAAGAAATGTCTTCCACTTTTCTGCCTGGCTATTAGCAGCAGGGCTCTGACTGGTTGGGCTCCAGTGGGAACAGGTAATTCCACTGGTTGTCCATCTTTTGAGTCCTTATAACAATATAATATTCCTCTCCAAATGTAATAGCACCTTGTAAGGCTGCCTGCTTTTTATAGAAGTCAAAGCTTGGTTTAAGATTAACATTACATCTCTCCAATCTAGTTCCTAAGTCTGAATAAATCCTCTAAAAAACATCAATGAACTTATCAGGGTCATCTAAGGCACATGAACTCTGGAAGTTCCAAATTTCCTATTTACTTCTTTAAAAGGTATTGTCCTTGAGGAGCTTGCATAAACCCAGCTAAGAATGGGTGTAGCCGTGTAGAGGCCTGGATTATAGCTGTTTTAGAAGTCCACACCCTCTAGACTAGAAAGGCAAATAGGGGAAACCTTACTTTCACCAATGGTGGGCAGGGCTGAACTGCCTGGTTCTCCTGTTACTCACATCTACATTTCAAACTTAAATAACAATGACCTTTAATGTAAACCAAATCTAAACATAAGACATTCTTACCATTTTCCTTTTTACATCATCTTTTTAGTTAAAAACTAGCATCACAGTTGATACTTTCCTCTTCATTTCATTTAAACAGCTCTTTTTAACACGTAAGGATCAAATGTCTTCTGGTGCCCAATGAATCACACTCTAAAGGAGTAAGAGTCTTTGACTGAGATAACCTGGAATTCAATAGAAATTACCTTTCTGGGCATCCCCACCTTTTTTCTAATTGATTCCTCCACCCAGGCGTCCCTGAGTAGCCCTCTCCAGAGCAGGTGGATGCTCCTGTTGGAGAGAAGGGAAACAAGATCCCATCAGCCTATCCACCCTCGAACTGGCGCATG